TGAGGAATGAGTTTAAGGTAGTTCCTCTTTTCCTTCATTGGGAATAATTTCATTGACTTAAATTAGAAATGTTCAGGTGAGAGAAGGAAGAAGGGGAGGCAGAAGAAACGGGTGATCTGTGACCTAGTGCTGATCCCTAGCTGCTCTCCACTACAGAAAACTGAGGATTTCTGGGACCAAAATAAAATAAAGTGGAAAATGAATTTTTAAAATCCATACACATTGCTGAATTTATCCATTTTCTTCCAGGCAAAGTAATTTTACAAGAAGATCAATTTCAAGGAATTTTCAATTTCAAGGAATTTCATTCCTTTTTAAACTCTGAACAGAAAAGAAACATGTCCAACCCAAATCTAGCTGACAGCTTCAGAATATTCAAATGATCCAAACACAATGGGAATGAGCTGTAGCAATGTTCCGGTGGAAAACTGCCTTATCTATTGTTTGTTGCTTGCAAGTTCAGTTGAAGCAATGCTCCTGACGTGACAACCAAGGAATTGGGTAAATTCAGTTCCCTATATAAGGCCCATCTAACCTGCATTGCTCTTGGTGGGATAAGTGCTGGCAGAAGTGGGGCCTAGTCATTTTCCAGCTATTCAAGCAGCAGATCCCAACTGTGGTACCAGACAAAAAGAATTAGCATCCCCAGAGAACTGGCTAGAAATGCAAAATTTCAAGCACCACCTTAGCCCCACTGAATCAGAAACAGTGGGGATGGGGCCAGCAACCTGTGTTTTAAACCAACCACATGATTCTGATGCCATTAAATTTGAGAACAACTGTTACAACACAGGAAATCTGGTGGTGCAATGCCTAAGGCATTTGGCTGCTAATCATGAAGGTTGGTGGTTCAAACCCACCAGCTGCTCTATGGAAGGAAGATGGGGCAATCTATTTCTGTTACCCAAAGGGGGTTACTATGAGTCAAGACTGACTTGAAGGCAGTGTGTTTGGTTTTTGGTTTGTGTTAGTACACAGAAGCTCTGGTGGTGTGGTGGTTAAACCATTCGGCTGTTAACCAAAAACTACGTGGTTTGGAACCCACCAGTGGCTCTGTAGAAGAAAGATGAGGCAGTCCACTTCCATAAGATTTACAGCCTTGACAACCCTACAGGGTACAAGTTGGAACCGACTCGATGGTCGTGTTTGGGTTTTTGGTGTCAAGAATACAGAAGCTCTGGTGGTATAATGGTTAAAGCATTTGGCTGCTAACCAAAAGATGGGTAGTTTGTAATCTACCAGCCCTCCTGTGGAAGAAAGATGAGGCAGTCTGGTTCTGTAAAGATCTACAGTCTTGGAAACCCTATGAGGTAGTTCCACTCTGCCCTAAAGAGTCCTTGTGAGTCAGAATCTACTCAATTGCAGTGAGGTTTTGGTTTGGTGTTAGAACAAAGAATCCCCCAATGATAGCGGAGAATCAAGGTGTCACTATGTTAAGATATTAATTACAAAGGGATAAACCACGCTAAGCTGTCTTCCAAGTAGACAAAACAGTAAATTGATGTTTGTATTAACTATGGAGCTATAATTTAGGAAATGGTATGATAACAAACTTGTCTGTGGCTTAATGTATGAGAAAAAGCTTTCAGCAACTCTGTAATTATCCCCCTGAATATGATTTTGAAGAATTATTGTCTCTCTTGAAGGAACCCTGGTAGTTCAGCCGTTACAGCACCCAGGTGCTAACCAAAAGTTTTGCGGTTCGAACCTATCAGAGGCTCCACCGGAGAAAGATGTAGCAGTTGGCTTCTGCAAATATTTACAGCCTTGGAAATCCTATACAGCAGAACGGACTTGATGGCAGTGGTTTTGGTTTGAAGAAAATTTAAGAGGCACTGCTCTAAATATAAGTACGTGCAATCCCAAAAGGACACCACCACCAAAGAGGAGGCCCAAGTAGTTCCACGGACCCCACTGTTATAAATTCCGTCCTATTTTTTAGGATTGCAATCAGCCTTAAACCACTTCATGTTGTCTGACTGAAGAAAGAGGTTGGCTGAGTATGTGCATGCATTGTAAAGATGGGGATGAAAACAATCATCAAGAAAAAACATTTTCCATGATCTTTTTTTATTTAACATATATAGTACATGTAAACAACTGGCATAAAATCCCTAAAAATACAATCCTCCTATGCAATGTCACCTTATTCCCAATAGATCTTTTCATTCTCTCTTTAATGCCATTGGCCTGCTTTAACGTTACACTTTCTCTGCAAAGCCTGTTCAGAGGTTTGTCTTTTATAGAAATACTGCCCCAACTTTGTTTTCTAAATGTCACAGCAAGAAGCTATTTCTATTGCCTCCTTGCCCATCCTAACTTTCCTCACACTAAAGCAAAAATATTCTTAAATGCTAAAAATACATAAAACACTGAGGCTTAATACTGTTTTGTCATGTAGATTGAGCCCACTACTATTCCATGTTTCCATAAAAGATGATTGAGAGTTGACAGCACAGGCTGCCACTACATAGGATCTAGACTGAGAGTGTAGTTCATCCACCCAGGCCTCGATTCTAAACAGAATTTGCCTAAAACATCATCAGAGCTTGCAGGTGGAGTTACATTAATACTGTTACAAAAGGATTCTTCCAAAAAAAAGTATGACTTCTAACTTTCCCAGTATGTGAAACAGTTATAACAGTATTTTAATGTTTTTTCCTGTACAGAATTTCCACTAATTACACATGAACTTACTAAGAAGGGGACAATTGGATGCGAAGAATGAAGAATAATTTAAACAGTATGATTAAAAATAAAAAATTGTTAGCGAAGGAGCTCTGGTGGCATAGTGCCTAAGGCATTTAACAGCTAACCAGAAGGCTGGCGGTTCAAACCCACCAGCCACTCCTTGGAAGAAAGGTTGGGCAATAATCTACTTCCGTAGTGATACTGCCTCAGAAACCCAAGGAAGGGTTGCTATGAGTCAGACCCAACTCGATGGCAGTGCATTTGGTTTTTTTTGTTGTTGTTGTTTTTGGACAGACTCAATGAGCCACGTATGAGTGAGAAACAGCTGTTGAAAAAGTGAGCACCATCCTGATCTCCGCACCACAGCTACGGATGAACACAGAGGACCTTGGGAGAGTGTCCCTCTCACCCTCCTAAGCCTCAGTGCCCTGCTGCCATTTTGATGAGCAGCTGCACTGCTGCTCAAAAATGTTGCTTCTAATCCACAACTCCCCAGCTGCTTCCTATATTCTGAAACTGACAAAAAGCCTATGAAATCAAACAGTAGACAGCAAAGAAGAAGACTGCAGAGAATATAGAGAATAGAAGCAGCAGGGAAGGAGATCAGGCTCTGGGGACAGGGCACGCTCCTCACCAAGGGCACATTCCTAAACTGGATGTACTGTCTTTTCAGCTTTTCCTAACATAAGTTAGCTAGCACTTCCCCTTGACCAAGTTCATCCTTTGACTCTGGTCAAAAAGCAGAAAGAGAACAGATCTTCAGTGGTTCCCAGAAGTGGGCACCAGAAACCAGTCCTGAGGACTTGGGGCTCAAGGACAATCCACAATGAAGTTAATCTGCCTACAGTTAATAACGAGAACACTGTGTAATTAAATGTCTACTCAGCCACAGTCATGGTTTGGTTAGAATTAAAATCTTAAAACTGTTTCTCAGAACTGTGAGATTTGCCATTTTGAAGAATCTCATTTCACACAAATTAAGTTCTAAGAAACAAAAATTCATAATCGGAATTCAAAGCAGGTTTTGAAATTTTTCAAAATGAAGAGGGAGACTGAATATACTTACTTTGCACTGAAATGATGGCTTTTAGAACCGAATCTGTAACATTAGGTTTTGGTCTCATTAAAGACAGGAGATTTATGTAAAAGTGAAACATAGAAACTTCATTTATCATTATTCATTTACTTTTTTGATAGAAAAATCAGTCAGGTTTTATTGTATCTTAATACTGAAAGAAAAATTACACATACTACATTCCATGGTGAATTATGTCTACTCAGATATATATTAGTTTCTAAACGCATAATACCTGCAGGTGTTCAAAACTGGTTTTCTTAAAATTACAATTAAACATGAAAAATTTTAAAAGTGTTAAAATATAAAAATTCAAATAATACTAAAAATGAGAAAAATGCAGTTGCCATTAAAAGTTTTTTTAACCAAAAATAAGTACTTGGTAAAGAACTAAATGAGTAAATAGCTCTTATTTGACAAAGAATGCTGGAGGGACACAGAGAGAAGACACACAAGTGGTGCATAGTTAATAGTTAAAAGAATTTGGTCCAAACCATTAGACCAAAAGTTGGATTAATAATAGGTAGGAAATACTTCATTAAAAAGGGCAAGAGAAAACAAAAAGAACATAAAGAAGTGAAATAAACAGCTAATTCCACATAGCAAACACTCACATCTATGCCTCTTCTACTCTTACTCAAGCTAATGACAGGGGCTGACATGACTGACAAGCTTAACAATAATCACTGAAATATCCAAAAACAATAGCAAGAGGCAGGACAAGCAGCAAGGGGGTGTCAACAGTCCATAAACTGTAAAATCAGCCAGTACATAGTTCAGAATGGACTGTATTCTCCTATCATCCTTGCCATATTCTTTTATAAAGGTAGCTTTGCTCACTTAAGCACAGATATTTAAGTTGTACAAGCACATACTCATTTGCATAGCAAATTTTAAGGGATGCATTGAAATAATAACCAATTGATAAAGGTGTAAGTACTTTTTACAATCAGAATGGTATTCAAGTTCACCAAATAAAACGTTTTCTATTTGAAAACAGTTACCTATAAAAGTTTTTGTGATTTGAATTAAAAACAACATATGACTTATTAGTAAAACGTTAAAACCATTATTGATGGGATTCTGTGTAGGCAGCAGTTCAGGTAGCAGTCATTCTTTTATAACTTCTAAGACTTTGTAAACATTGTTCTGGAATACAGTGGTGAAGTGAGGCTTTGATTCCTTCACCAAGAGGTTACATAAGGGAGTTTTCCCAGCATTTGCAGGATCTTCCACATCCCAAATTTCAGGCATACTGCAACCAGGCCTAGAAAAATCAATATAGAGATTAAAAATCATCAACATATATAACCTTATTTCTGACCTAATTTCACTTAAAAAAGTTTTTGAAAGGTCCTATCATAGTTATTTATATTTTGTAAGTGGCCATAAATCCTCTTCAGAACAAGATAAAAGCAGCAATGGTGATAATAAAGAAAAACAAACCAAAAACAAAACCTACAAACATGAATGCAGGTGTCGGGTAAAAGAGATCTGGGTTAAATTCTGCCTCTGCTGCTTTCCAACAATCTGGTGGTGGACAGATAGTTAACTTCATTCAGTCTCAGTTTCTACATTTGTTAAATGGGGGAAATACCCATGACATAGGTTTGTTATGAGTAGTAAGAGATACATCTAGCAGTGTCCAACACATAGTAAGAGACTATAATACATGGATTTTTAAAATTGTAATTGAGAAATGTGTTTAGTTCACAGGAAAATTGCATTAATTATATTCTAGAATGAGTCAATTTTAAGAAAATTTTAAACTCACCATTTTGTGAAATGCAAAATTAAATCATAAAAGCATAGTTTTTATAAAGAAAATAAACGAAATTAGTATCATGTGACATTTGTCATTCAAAATAACTGCAATATTTATTTTAAATCAAGTACCAAACTCGCCAAACCAAACTCACTGCTGTCGAGTCAGACCTGACTCATAGCAACCCCTTCTTGGGTTTCCAAGGCAGTATCACTATGAAAAAATAACTTTGCCTTTGCTAGAGTTTACACTTTCTTTGCTTTTTGAAACATTTAAGAACAAAAAAGTACAGAGAATCAACAAGTGCTTATGCCTTACTTAGCTGCTTTACCTTTTAAAATAATTAATAATAATTTAAAAAATTCCAAGTCTCTCTTATCCCCACAGTCCCATTCCTCCATCCTCTACCATGAGACAAGCACTTTTACAGAAATGTGCATTTTTCTTTTTCTTTTAAATAATATTTAAAAGTCATTGGTCATTGTAAAAGTCTCAAAAACCTATACTAAGTATAAAAAAATGAAAGTCACCCTCACCTCCAATACCATTTCTCAGAGGTGACATCTGTAAACAATCCAGCATATATCCTGCTAGATCTATTTTAATCTACCTTCAGACACTCATGCATACAAATAAATACATATCTATACACAAAATGATCCTGGACTGTTTTTACAAAAATGGGATTATTCTGGGGGGAAGCTCTGATGGCATAGTGCCTATAGCAATTGACTGCTAACCAGAAGGTTGGCAGTTCACACCCACCAGCCACTCCTTGGAAGGAAGATTGGGCAATCTAGTTCCGTAGAGATACCGCCTTGGAAACCCATGCAGGGGTCGCTATGAGTCGAATCGACTTGATGGGAGTGAGTTTGGTTTTTTTGGTTTTCACTAAGCAATAAAATGGAGCCATTTTTTTCATCCTATTACATAAAGACCTATTCTTTTTAACAGTTGCTAGATGAGGCAGTCTGCTTCCATCAAGAGTTTGGAAACCCTATGGGGCATTCTAGTCTATCCTACAAGGTCACTGTGAGTGTGAATCGATTCAGTAGTAGTGGGTTTGGTTAGTCCTCCTAAACAACAAACCTCTTGCTGCCAAGTCGATTCTGACTCATGATGATGTCATGTGTTACCGAGTAGAACTGTGAGCTGTAGTGTTTTCTTTGCTGTAATAGTTACAGAAGCAGATCATCAGGCAGTTTTTCTACAGTACGCCTGAGTGGGTTCACACCACCAACCTTCCCATTAGTAGTTGCATGCCAACCTTCTGCACTACCCAGGAATCATTCCTTTATAGATGGGTATGTTCACATTTTGTTATTATAAAACAATGCAGTCATAAACATTCTCAGGCCTATATCCTTTCTGCAAGCTAAATTTCTAGAAGCAGCGCTATTTTTCTGTCAATGGGCTGACACAATTTTTTACTTTGCCCCCATCATATTATCTCTCAAAAAGGTTCTACCAGTCTGTTCCCATGAAGAGTGTTTGAGTGTACTTTTCTGCATATCCTCACCAACATGAGATTTACCAAGATTAGATGAAAAAGACAATCAGATTAGACTCATGCTTTTCACCTGTTAATTTTCTAACATTTGTCCAGGCCACACAATACCTTTGTATTATATTATAAGTTACTACCCAGCTCCTGAGTTCAACTGTTTTCAGGAAAAAAGAGAGGACAAAGAGCTGCCATTATGTACTCTCTCTGACTGAAGGCAGCATCCTTTAGTCTCTGAGTTTCCTAAGGTTTCCCTAGCCATCTAGCTACATCTTGAAATAGCAATAGTGAAATGTGAATTATCTTCTTTTGAACCCATGTATTTTATGTCAACTCTATTATTGGAAATAATGAAAGAAAGCAGAGAACTGAGAATAAGAGTAGTTAAAAAGAAATTTGTCTCCAATTTGCATTCAAGGGTATTCAGAATTTGTATATGAACACATGGTCTATCAAATTTTTTAAGAACTCACAAAACCACACAATGACAGCTCTTCTCAATGAGATCACATAAATACAGTGTCACCACTATGCCAAGCATGTATTAAGCACTAGGTAAATGTTGGTCCTCTTTCCCTCTCCTCACCTATCTGATTTGCCCATTTGTTTTCCTGCCAGAACAGAAGGCACAGTTTTTGTTTTGTCTCCAGGTTTAAGCAGAGCAGACCTGTCTAATGTTTCTTGAGATTTATCATCAGTCTGGCTTAGCAGTAGATGGAAAATGTTGTTTTAGTTACTGAGTGAGATAAATAGATGGGAGATAGCTAATTTCTTTGCTTCCTCCAGCTCAACTCCTACAGGGACAGATACACAATGACAAGTGAAGATCAGGTGAGAGAACTAAGCACATATGCCATCCACCCCAAGCTCTAAGTGCCCAAAAACCAGATCCACATGGAGACAATCTGAAGCCAGTTAATTGGCTGACTTTGTTGATGTGCATAATTTCATTGCCACATTTTCCATATTTGTTTTTCCATCCCTTCTTGCCCAAAAAACAGTGCTCTGCCTATTGGAACCCAAAGTGACTCAAGTTATCAAATCCAGACAGCTCTACAAACATCTTAAAGCACAAAACAACCCAGCCTTTATAAGGCTCACATATTTAAAACACTATATGGGGTCTAGGAAAAAAAATGATGACTCTTGAATCAAGAGTCATTGTGGGCTTGAAGGAAGATGGCGGAATAGGCAGAAAGACTGCACAGATGCCCCTCTTCAACAAAGAAAAGGGAAACCAATTAACACAGATACACAAGAAAATCCTGGATCCCTGAGCTTTGAAGGGAAGGATATAGAAGTGGACTAAACTCCAACTAGCAGAAGAATTTGCATGAAAACACCAAAAAAAGAGACAGAGACATATGGAGCTGCAGTCCGGCAGCCATCCTGACAGCACAGACAGCTTGGGTACTGCTGAGTGGTGGTAGGACCTAAGAATTAACCAAAAAATCAGACCAGCTAGCCAGGGACTGCATGGAGGACTGCTCTGGTGGCTGGGGAATAAAAGAGGAAGCAGAGAAGAGGAAGGGAGGCTGAGCTGTGAACGTTTGCCTGTCCAGAGGGTGAGCCATTTTGAATGTTTACAAGCAGCTTGACCATTTCAGATATTTAAAGCAACAGCATACTCCCAGGTTCCAGGGACTTAAGAACAGGCTCTGCTTGCTGGGAACCACAAATACATCCCAGATGCACGGACTAAAAAAAATGTGCGACATTCCCCCTGCTACTCTTACCCCATACCCTCTTAGTGCACAGAGGTGCAGCCATCCCTCATTCTCACCCACCTTCTAGGCTGGCAGGAATCCATCCCAATCTGTGTGCTCCCAAGGAGGCTGGGTACCCTGTCCCACCCTGTCCAGATTTTTTTTTCTTTTTTTTAGTTTGTTTGTTTTTGTCTGTTTTAAACTACTACTACTACTACTACTACTACTACTACTACTACTACTACTACTGCTATAACTTTTGTCCTTTTTATTATCATTCTTTATTCTTCCCTTCCCAAATTCTAGTTTTCAGCTTTTTTCTTTTCCCTGCTCCAGGCTACATTTTTTTTTTTCTTTTTTGTGGGTAATCCCGTTTTTCTTTTTGCGTTTCTCCCATTTTTCTTTTCTTTTTTATTGTGATTTGGGTGAAAATTTACAGAGCAAATACACTTTCCATACAGCAATTCACATGCACTTTGTCTCATGACA